ATGCTAGATGTAAGTGAGCCCAGCCCACCACAGGCCCGCAACGATGGCAGTAGAAATAGCAGGCGGTTACGGAGGGCAGACAGTGTAGTCGAGACTGGAACATTACCCATTCTGCGCCTTGCTCATTTCTTTTTACTGAATGAAGGTGATGAGGATCCAATTCGTGGTTTAACCAAAGAGCAGATTGACAATCTTTCTACCAGGAGCTTTGAACAAAATGGGGCTGAGAGTGAGTTGGGTCAAGTCTGTAGCGTGTGCATCAGTGACTATGTGGCTGGGAACAAGCTCCGGCAGCTGCCGTGTCAGCACGAGTTTCACATTCACTGTATTGATCGCTGGCTGTCGGAGAACTGCACCTGCCCTGTCTGCCGGCGGCCTGTTTTAGAACTGGGGGCCGCAAACACTGGGTGAGAGGACGGGATCTGGTCAGTGCTGGATGTCCCTGGAGCCACATAGTCAAACATTCTTGAGTTACTTGTGATGAGGTAACCAAGATGAGAAACTAGCAGAGTATAGCTTGCACTATTTTTTGTGTGCTTTTTTTTAAAAAAAAAAACTTGTTACAAAGAGGTTGTTTATATAAAATTTAAAATGCAGATGTTAAATTATCCAAAAGTAAAGAATAGTTAATATTGCTAGAACCAAATAACCTTCAAAATGTTTTTATTTTGGTAATTTTGTCATGTTAAGCACTTTTGTATCTGCACAACTCAGTATGTTAGGAATCTTGATTCTTTCTCTGAATGCTGCAGTAGGTTTTGCTGGGATTTTCCAGTTTCAGCTCAGTGCTATGTTTGGACACTACTGTCTAAGTCTGTGTAGACTGTTTGGCTGAATGTCTGCTAGACAGACTTTAGTTACTTGAAATAATTTAAGACATAGCACACTGTTCGTGTGTATGCAGATATGTAACTATGGCGAACATATCCTTGCTAAAAACTACATGTTTGAGAGTTACTTAAGCTCTGGGGCTTAGACTGCATCTGACACAGTGTTAGCATTGACAAGACCATCTCTAAGAGAAAGTGAATTAAGATACAGGTTAATGTAGAGATTGTTTACTGAAGCGTGTCTGACAATCTGACTTACTAGAGAGCGAGAGACATATAATAATGAACTTAGTATTTCTTTATTCATAAATGGAATGTGGAAAATTTTATGACAGATAGTTTAAGTTCATCTTATTTGTGACTTTTTTTAGAAGTACAAACACTTCTCGGGGTTAGGTAGGGTTTACAGCATGCTTGATTTCTCAAATTTAGTTTTAAAATCTAAAATATTTTAAAATCTATTAAGTAATGAAATGCATAGAAGAAAAAATGTTAGATTGGATGCCAAAAAGCTCCAAATATAATAAAAGCCTTTAAAAGAACGTAGAGTTTATATAAACACAAAGTATGCATTAAAAGTCTATTTCCACCAGTAAATGTGAAGACTGTGTGAACTCGTTTCTCTCCGTTGTTCCACTGTGGCTGTTCACCTCCAAATACTTAATTCCACACTGGGTGGCATGTGCGTGACAGACATGCTGAGTTCGCTAGGTGACAGGCAGACCAAGACTGTCTCCATGGAGAAGACATTGTCCTTAGGAGAACAACCATTTTTACTTTGGTGTTTACTTGCGAATATATGACAGCGGTCTCTTTCATATGTCGGGTACCACTTGGGCGAACCTCAAGAAAATACTTCATGTCAAATCCTGAGAGGTTTAGAAATGCCTTCATGTTTAACCTTGCTCTTCAGTTAGTGATTATGTTCGATTCCTAAGGTTAGTTGTGTGCCCAGAAATGACACAGAGGGGTTCACCAAAGGGAAAGACTTTGGGGTAAATAACTTCTGCAGGTTTATGGGCATGGGCCAAAGAAGGTCAATAGGGCCTGGGTGAAGCCTTTATGTATCAGATTAAGTGAGAGGTTTTCACCTCATTCCGTAGCCGTTTCATGACAGCAATTGTCCTTGATGATTTTAGGAACAAGTGTCAGGGTAGTTTTTCATGTTTAAAGAAGATTGCTCTAGTACCATGTAGGGGACACAGCAGAATGTAGAGACGGAAACAAACCATAAAGGAAGTGCTACAATAAAACAGCACCCCTGGGGCTGTGGAGATCGCTCTGTCTGTAAAATGCTTGCCCGGTCGTCTGGAGACCATGACAACATGAGTTCTATCGCTAGCAAACCTGTAAAAGCTGGGCATAGTGGTGCATACCTGTACTTCTAGGGTTGGGGACAGAGACAGACAGAGCCTCAGGGCTCACTGGTCATCCAATCTGGCCAAATTGATTCAGTGAGAGATCTCAAAAATAAATCAGAGGGCTGGAGAGGTGGCTCAGAGGTTAAGAGCACTGACTGCTCTCCCAGAGGTCCTGAGTTCAATTCCCAGCACCCACATGGTGGCTTACAACCATCTGTAATGAGATCTGGCACCCTCTTCTGTATACATAATAAATAAATAAATCTAAAAAAAAAAAGAAAAAAATAAATCTGAGAGCAGTTGAGGAAGACACAGCAGTTGACCTCTGGCCTCCACATAAATGAGAACCAACACACATGAAAACACAAAAACTAGCCAGACAGTGGTAGTGCACACCTTTTAGTCCCAGCACTTGGGAGGCAGAGGCTGGTAGATCTCCAGTTCAAGGACTGCCTGGTATACAGTGCTAGTTCCAGGACAGCCAGGACTACACAGAGAAACCTTGTCTCAGAAAACAAACAAAAACCAAACCAAAATACCGTCATTCTGTCACTCACACTCATCAGTTGGTGTGATAACAAGAACTAGAAAGAAGACATTCAGTTTTTCTCCAGGAAGACATTCGGTGTCTAGTGTGAAAGGTAGGGAGACTCACATATTCTTGGAGAGACTAGAACCAGCCACCCCGAGTGGAGGAAAGAGTGCTGACACCACAGATTCAGGGATCCAGTGTAGATACCTTGCACAAAGTCCCAGAGAGCTCACAAGAACACTCAGTGTGTCCTTTCTAAGGGTAGAGATTAAATCCAGTGTCTGTTTCTTATGTGGAAGGTTGGAAGTTTTACCTCCTCTAACCTAATCAGTTGGGAAAATTAGGAGAATAAATTTAAAATTAGTGGTAAAAAGAAAGAAAACTGGACTTAGTGTTTTGCTGGACTTAGTTTCTGTTGTTTTTGAAACAAGGTCTCCCTAGGTAACTTAGGCTGACGCTGTCCTCACAGTCCACCTGGATCAGCTTCCCATGCCCCATGACACCCAACTGCACTTAAGTCTTCTGTAAGATGGGGTGGCCTTAACAGCACTAGAAGGGGTTTCAAGAGGCACTTGAAACACAGAGGGGTGGGTACTGTCTGGGAGATTCCCTGGAGGTCAGTGTGGCTGAATGAGGTTGATAAATTGATACTACAGTGGAAAACAAATGTTTTCTGTAATGCTTGCATTCACTTCTCAGTAAACAAAGCTGGCATATCCAAAGGCCGTATAACTATAATTTCTATTTAGTAATGATTGTGTCTTCTGTGGGTCTAATACAGGAAGAAGCTCATGGTTGGATGCATTGTTTGAACATGTGATCTGCAGCATGTCTGGAGAGATGGGGCTCTATACTAGACTGCAGCTATCCTCAAGACTTGTATTTTGAGATTTGCAGCTTCCTGGCTGCTCTAACAGATTTACATCCTTCTTAGTATTTTCTTTGAATTTTTCTAGTATCATTGAGTATTGTTGTGACTGCTATTTTTGTTCTTCTCCTGTCAGTATTGTGGTAGTTTGAATGAGTGTGGACCCCACAGAATGCTTGGTTCCCAGTTGCTGGACTGTTGGGAAGGATGAAGTATGGTCTTGCTGGAGCAGATATGGCCTTGGTATGGAGGTGGCGTGTCACTGGAGGTGGAATTTGAGGTTTTAAAAGCTCACACCAGGCCATCTCTGTCTCTTTGCCTGCTGCCTATGGATCAGGATGTAACCCTCAGCTTCTCCAGCACCATGTCTGTCTGCATGCTGTCATGCTCCCCATCGAGATGATAATGAACTAAGTCTTTGAAACATAAGCAAGCCCCCAGTTAAATTCTTTCCTTTAAGTGAGTTGCCTGGGAGGTGGTGGCTCATACCTTTGATCCCAGCCCTTTAGAGGCAGAGGCAGGTGAATCTCTGAGTTAAAGGCCAGCCTGATCTACAGAGTGAGTTCATGGGTAGTTCTTTATAGAGCCAGCTTCCATCTGTCCTTCCCAATCATGGATGCTTTCCTTACCTGACTTCGGTTTTCTGCATCTCACCTGTTGACTATGTAAAGACACCCCTTGGTGGACTCTCACACCCAGGCAGGCAAGACCCTCCCTGTACTACTGGATCTCATTTGAAGTTGCCATAATTTTCTCTTCCAGTATAATATGTAGACACCTCCATGTGCTCCATGCAGTGATTTTAGACTAAACGACTCAGAAGGGAATGGAAGGGTGTAAACTAAAGTGGAAGAACCAGTGAAGCTTCTGATACCAGATAAGACTGAAACACTTTAGCCTTTGGTGCCCAATCCATTGACCAGTCAGCCATTTTTATTTTATGTTCACTATTGTAGGACAGGGAGGAGCTCATGATGGATTCCAAAAGGAAAACACGATCTCTGCTTTTCATAAACACCACGTAGAAATAAGGCAAACCTAGTGGGAAAAACCTCACCCCATTTAGTTATATTATTAGATATATTTTTTAACTAGTCTTAAGTCCACTAGTGTTTTGCCTGTATGTATGTCTGTATGAGGGTGTCAGGTCCCTGAGAACAGGAGTTACAGACAGTTGTGAGCTGCCACGTGGGTGCTGGGAATTGAACCTAGGTCCTCTGGAAGAGTAGTCAGTGCTCTTAATTGCTGAGCCATGTCTCTAGCCCGCCACCCATTTTAATTAAATTTAAAAAGCTTGAAAATTAAATAAACTGTAAATAAATTTCTAAGCAATGTACCAAACCAAAGTGAACATCACCAAACTCTGAGAAGTCAATTGGAGACCTGAACAGATTCAAACAAGGAGTGACTATGATCAGACATGCTGTGTCTCAGTTTTATGGATGCATAGGAAGACATCACATATTTATGGAAAGATGATTTCTATTTGTAATATTATAAACAACATTTGATACAGATTTATTACCAGAATCACCACAGTACCTCCCATTTCATTAAAATATGATTGATAAGATAGCAGACAAATGCTTAGTACAATCAGAATGCAGAAAGCAAGCTGGAGCTCAATGGGGATGGCCCCTACAATCAGAAAAATCTCAGTTCTATATTGACTTAATGATTTCCTGTAAATCACACAATACATGATACTCAGCACAGACACTGAGCATGCTCAATGAATTCCTGAACACCTAATCACCAAGGGCAATTAAGCTGATTAATTCAAAGGCAAATTAGATTCTCTGATATTGGGTGGCACAGCTTCCTTGAAGAACAGCAGAAATCTTGCTGGAAACTCAAGCTCCATTTGTGATTTCACCTTGACACACCTTTCAGGATGATGGGTTCTTCTGGTTGAAAAATGGTTCGCTTGCTTAACTTCAAGGGAATCTGTGGTAGTTGAAAAAGCACATTGAGATGGAATGAATGAGCCAGCAACCACAGCAAAGCAGAACAAATCCATTCAGGACAGTGGTATTTTATATACATAAAACACTTTAGGCTTCATATGTCTTGAATTCTTTATACATACATCTTCATTAGGACTGGGTAGTCCAAACACCCAGGTCTACTGTTCATGCAATAAAGTCATTTTGGAGTAATTGTTGTATATAGAACCTGAGGGGGAAGAATATGCCGACCCATGTTCTTTATTGATTTGAATTTAAGTGAAAAGGCTGAGTTTTAAAATTCTGGATCACATTTTAAGTATGTGAAAGACTGTTTTTGATAGGTAGTATAAAGGTAAATTCACATTTGTTGACACGTAGAAGGTAATCCTGAACACATGTCAGACAGTGCAGCTCTGTGGGCACAACTCAACTTCTCAGGCCAGTTGTGCCTGTCCAGTTTAATGGCAGGCAAGAACTTGTGATTTTTCCTAAGATCTCCTCTTAGCCCCGGAGGGTAGTGTGAATGGGGAACTTCTGAATCATTCAGTGTTTCCACCAACCATTTTACCTCAGTCTCTTCCACCTTATGGGAGAAGAGAAGCTGCCAACATCTGGTCTCTGTAGATGGTGGGGAAACAGGTTATCAAGGAAACTGAAGACTGTCAGCTTATAGAAAGCTTTCAAGATTAAAGTCTTTGTCCATCTTTCTGAAGCACTGTGTAGACAGGACAGCTACATAGTTATCCTGGGTGACAAATGAGGGGATAACGACCTCTCTAAGACCACGAAGAAAGGACAGCTGATGAGAGGAGCTGTGTAGCTACACACAGGACTAGAAATCAGCCTTGTCATTCATTGCTTTATTTGGAAGTAAAGACAATTGACCTTTAAGTTTGGGGAGGGGGCAACATGTCAACTTCTCTAAGTGTATTGTTTGTGTTTTAACAACATGCATCTATTCTCTCCAGAGATACACTCACAGAAAGATAGGCATATATGCCCTTGTATGCTTACAGGAGCAAATTCAAAATATAAAATTAGGTTAAATGTATATTTAAGAACTCCAGAACAGTTGTAAAATACTCCTTAAAATATAACTAAGATATTCGCAGACTCCCCAGCAAAGCAGTCTTGGTAGAGTAAGTAAACGAAAATAAGGTGAAATTCAGATATAATTCTTCAGTGCAGAGAACAAAATTGGGTGCATTGCCTTTGTGATGAAAAGAGGCTGCAGACATCACGGGAGCAGAGGAGTAGGTGGGCCATGGCCAGACAGCTCGTTTGAATGGCTTAGTCACCTACTTCAACTTGAAAAAGACAGACTTCAGAGAACAAAAAAGTCTTCGTGTAGCACAGTTATGAAAATGTGAGATCAAATGGTCAGGGTTGTCCTGAAGGGTTGAAATTCTTTGTGTTCTATAGTAGTGTCTGAAATCAGTGTGCACTGCACCCTTTTTGAGACAGGGTTTCTCTGTGTAGATTTTAAGCTTGTCGTGGAACTCGCTCTCTGGACCAGGCTGGCCTTGAACTCACAGAGACCCGCCTGCCTCTGCCTCCAGAGTGCTGGCATTAAAGGCGTGCGCCACCACTCCCTAGCCAATATGGATCTCTTAAAGCAATGCTCTGGGTAAATCATTTCCAGGTATCTGAGGTGATTAGGCACAGTGAGTTTTTAAAGTTACAAAGTTAAAAGCAGAGCTAGGGGCCTGGCGGTGGGGCGCACGCCTTTAATCCCAGCACTTAGGAGGCAGAGCCAGGCGGATCTCAGTGAGTTAGAGGCCAGCCTGGTCTCCAAAGCGAGTTCCAGGAAAGGCGCAAAGCTACACAGAGAAACCCTGTCTCGAAAAAATGAAAAAAAAAAAAAAAGGCAGAGCTAGTGCCGGGAAGCCCTCCATTCACAAACCACAGCAAGGTGATCATACGAGCTCTGAGCGTGTACAACAGTTTCCCCATCTCCAGTCAGTCACACAATTTAAACCTGGACTTGATCTCAAAGACACTATACTTAATCATGTCATGCTGATCTGCATGAACTCTAAATAATTTCTCTGTTTCTGTTTTATTCAGACACAGACTTGCAGCTCAGAATGGAAGGTCCTTAAGCTTACAGGTCAAATCCTGTGTTCCATACACGGAAGCATAAGATGAATGACCAATTTCCCCTTTCTTTAGGTGAAACTCTAAATTAAAAAACAAGGACATTCCAACTAAATACGATTTATAGAGAGAGTTTCCTGCCTCACCTGTGTTTCCTCACAAGGCTGGAGGGTGAAGTTCTGCAGGACTCTGACGACAGCGAGTTTCATCTGATGAGGGCAAACCTCATGCCAAGGCAGTTCCTGGGTCCATTTTCGAAGGGCAGGTATACATAAGGATTGATGCTGCCCTTGTTCTCCTTGCTGAACCTGGAGACAGAGTGGGGATGCAAACGAGGCTATGGAACATAAAGAGCCAAGAGCTCCATGTTTGGAGTTCTCACACCCATCAACCAGCTTACATTTGTGGACTTGCAACTGAACCCTTGCTGTGGATGTCTCACCATAAGAATTTTAGGTCAGGGGCTGGAGAGATGGCTCAGCAGATAAGAGCACTGGCTTCTTCTCCAGAGAGCCTGGATTTGATGACCAGTACAAGTACCTGAGAGCCTCTGGTGGCCTTTTCTGGCATCAGGTACATGTGGCGCAGATACATGCAGGAAAACATCCACACACTTAAAAAATGAATCAAAATAAAAACATTGTAAGCTAACGGTCTTTCCACGTCCCTTAAAATAGGGGAGCCTCTGGTGTTGAACTGAGCTGAGCTAAATGCTTATAGAGAGGAAATATATCTTCTTTCAATGCCAAAATTCTGTCCGGGATGGGTATATGTTCCCATTCTGAAAGATAAGTCAGAATTAGAGTGAAAAGTATGCTACTGCCTCAACCTTTAAGAAGGCAGTTTCTAATCAAACAGACAATGGGAAAAGTTCTTAAAAATAATGGTAAATTTAGGAACCAGCACAGAACACATGAAAAAATAATCCTATGTAAATTTATATATCATTTATATCAACTACTACCTAGTCACCAAATAAGACATATGTGTATATGACAAGATGTGGTATATAGGTTAGTGTACCAGGCTTTCTTTGGGCTGCCAACCAGCTCCCAAATCATAACACAAAGACTTATTAGTTATGAATGTTCAGCCTTATGCTTGTCCCACTAGCTCTTATAATTAATTTAACTTGTTGCTCCTCATCTACGTTTTGCCTTGAGGCTTTTTATCTTTCTTTCATTCTGTATGTCCTACTTTTCCTGCTTCTTCCATGACTGCCTGGCTGGCTGGATCCGAGCATCTGCCTCTCCTTCTCTCTTCTTTCCTTCTCCCTCCCGAGCCGAGATTCCTCCTCCTACTTATTCTCTCTGCCCACCAGCCCACCTATCCTTCTACTGCCTAGATATTGACCATTCAGCTTTTTATTAGACCAATCAGGTGCCTTAGGCAGGCAAAGCAACACATCTTTGCATCGTTAAACAAATGCAGCATGAACAAATGTAACACATCTTTATATAGTTAAAATAATATTCCACAACAGGTTAGTGTTTAATTAGTGATTCAAAATACAACTAAAATATACTAGATTTTGCAAAACCTTTACATGCCTACAATAAATCCTTGAGGATATATTTCAGTATTAATGGAGTTTAACATTTTGGGACCCTGAATTGCCATGAATACTTTTTTTTCCTGGCCTGCTTTTGTAGCATCAAGAACTATCACTTTGTGGGGCCAGAGAGATGGCTCAGTGGTTAAGAGCACTGGCTGAATTTCCAGAGGTCATGAGTTCAATTCCCAGCAACCACATGGTGGCTCACAACCGTTCATAATGAGATCTGGTGCCCTCTTCTGGCCTGCAAGCATGCATGTAGGCAGAATACTGTATACATAATAAATAAATAAATCTTAAAAAAATAATTATTAGCCTGGTTCCTAGTGGGGACTTCTCTCTGAGGTCTCTGTACCTTTCAGGGCAGAACTCCTCAGGCTCTGGCTAGTACTCAGGATCCCAATGGAGAGGATAGGTTGGTACCACAACTACAGTCCCTTTGGGAATGAATGCTCCATTGATTTCCACATCTTTCTTTGAGATCCTTTCTAGCCTATTAGCAGCCAGATACAATCTGAGAGTTTCATTCACTACCATGTCCAGGTACTCCATGTCCATCAGGGCATCATAGGTGACAGGTGCCTGGGAAGAAGAAACAGATGTTTCCAGATGAGATTTGGACTCCAATTTCAATTCAGTTTCTAGTGCTATTGCATGTCAGAGGCTCCAAAGGCTAACCTCGACTAGTAGATCTTAGCCTTAATAAATCATTCTGCACCTATGATGACCTTTGTCCTGATGATGGCCCATTAGGGTGTGAAATATACATTTTAGCACAGAAGCCATTTGGGACACTCCCCTGTCCAGATCCCTTCCTCATCATTACTGTAGTGCTCTGATTTCTTTCCCACGTGAGCACATATGACCAATATGACAGTTACACTCAGACAAAGTGTCCCGGTGTCACGGTCTCATCTGCATAGACCAGTCTACACCAAGGAAATCACACCATTGCAAGGAACAACACCCACACTTGGTCCATATCAGGCCTTTTAGACTGTTCTGGTTTTGCATGAGTGTGTGTGTGTGTGTGTGTGTGTGTGTGTGTGTGTGTGTGTGTGTGCATGTTAATGGGATGTGGACAACTGCTGTGCATTGACCTGTATGTGGAAGCCAGAGTCCAACCTTCCTCTGGGAGTCCACTTTATATATGTTTTTGAAACAGGTTTTCAGTAGCCTGACACTCACCAAGCAGGATGGGTTGGCTGGCCAGTGAGCTCCCGGGGAAGAGAGGCTCACACTGTCTCTGTCTCCTCAGTGCTCCAATTACACCTTTTCCCCACATGGGTTCTGGGATTCAAACTCAGGTCCTCACAAACCAAGCATTGTATGACTGAGCTGTGTCCCCAGCTTCTCAGACTAGGCAACTCCTGCTTGCTAATTCCCTGGAGGGTGGCAGGTGTAATAAGTTGGAAAGAAAGTCACAATGGAGACTTCTGGAACTACCCACACTAGAAACTGCCTCTGTGTGTGAAGAAGAGTCAAAGCAACAGGAAAACAAGAAACAAAACACAGTCTATGTCAAGGAGAGAGGAAGAGCTTCAGAAACAATGAGGAAGTAATAAGAAATGAAAACGCATGGTGGGAAAATGGATGATTCATAGAAAAGAAACCAAACTGAAGATGCCTCTGGATGCCGTTCCCCAGGTCCAGGGGAAGGGGAACGCAAAGCCCCTCCCAAAAAAACCAAGAGGCTCTGGTGAAAGGGGCAGGGAGTCCTCCCTCCAGGACACCCCCACAGCCTCCACAGACTTCAAACCAATGAGGAGTGTGGTGAGACAGGGGCTGATTCCTGCAACCGTGAAGAGGAATCCCACTGTTACTCTGAATGATTCAGAATGGAGAAGCCAGTTGACATCTTTATACAGAACCTTGCATTGGAAACTGAATTCCTGCAACCGTGAAGAGGAATCCCGCTCTCATTCTGGATGATTCAGAATGGAGAAGCCAGTTAACATCTTTATACAGAACCTTGCATTGGAAACTGAACTGCTCAGGGAGGCCGAGAATAGGGACCGATCACAGGACAGGGAGGGTGAACTTAATGCTCCACAACCCTAGGGCAAGAGATTACCTGAGCGACAATTAGGGAAAGAGGCAGGATTAGATGCTTAGGAACTTAAAAGTACACGTGGCAGGAGGCTGAGGAAATAAAGTGCTCAGAGAATCGCCACCATCGATTGTCCTGACCAGGTCTCCATTAGCCACCCAGGAGGGTTGGACTTGGAGACTCCCTGAGGGATCTGTCCAGCACATTGCCTGCAATGCCAGCTCTGGTCAGCAGAGGGCACTGACACCCAAGTTACAAGAGCGATGCTAAGTGCGCTCAAGGCTTCAGACAGGAAGTAGTCTGATACACTATCAATGCCACTATAAACCATAGGAAAAGCTGGGCGGCGGTGGCACAGGCCTTTAATCCCAGCAGAGGCAGGCAGATCTCTGTGAGTTCAAGGCCAGCCTGGTCTTCAGAGAGAGATCCAAGACAGGCACCAAAACTACATAGAGAAACCCTGTCTTGAAAAACAAAAAAAAAAAAAAAAAAAAAAAAAAAAAAAAAGGAAAGACTCCCCTAATTCACACACTCACACCCACACACATA